TCCTCAGTCACTGTCCAACTTCGAGATGCATAGCAAGTGACTGAAAAGATCATGGCTTGGATTAAGTGCCTCTTGATTTTTAAACTGGTTTCGTTGCTCTTCAGCACTTTGGAGAGGTCTTTGACAGCAGATTTTCCCAGTGAAAAGTTCTTTTGATTTCTTGGCTGCTGGTACCAAGGGTGCTGACTGTGGTGGACCCAGGTGAGATTAAACTATTAATAATGTTTATCTTTTCTCCTCTAGCATGATGTCGCCTTAAGCCTGGTGGTGAAGATTTCTGTTTTCTTGACACTAGAACGTAATCTATATTGAAGAATCTTTGATCTACATCTAGTATTTTAAGTCGTAAAAATTAATAATCATGTAATAGGCACATGTTAGGTGGTGAAGGGAAAGGCAGTATCAAATAAGGGTATTACCTGTATAATGTCATCAAAGAATTTTGAAGCATTTATAGAAGGATTAACAGAAATCAGAATTATAGAGACGTTTAAAAAGCTGTGATTATATTGTTACAGAAATTAATGCTTTAGCATAAAAATGTAATTGCTTCACACACTTTCAAATCACAATAAAATAAAAGAGTGTTTCTTCTTCCTTTTATACAGGGGAAAAAAAGAAACAAGAATATATGCAACAAAATTATTTGAAATGCTCCCATTTGCCTTCAATGATAAATTAGTAATCTCCAAAGCGACAACAGACATACTCATCTTTCAGCTAAAAGTCTAACAAAAGCAAAAATAAAGGTGGAAATGTCACTCACGCACATAGCCATTCTCACACAGTGTGAAAATTATATTCATTTCAGCATAAAATGCAATGAATCATCTACCATGGCAGAACATTCTGCTTTTAAGCCTTAATATAATTGCACTTGTTTACAGTCTTGTTATTACCATCATTAATGCTATTTAAGCATGTTCTAACATTTGAAGCAATGTCTGAACCTTTCTGAAGGAGTCAGACTGTTGATGGTCTCACTCATAACTGAGTCATGAGCTTTTGCAGAAACAGCAGTCCGTTTTCCCAACAGAAGTTCATGCGCGGCTTATGTTTACATTTTTCTCCCACAAATTTTCCCCAAAGACATTAGTTTGTGAGTGTATCTTTTCAGCTTAGTGAGAGAAAAAAAAGATAATGGAGAATCTACTTGTGCATTTTAGGCAAATATAGATGGTTGTTACGGTTAAACGTTGTTGTGTTTCATTCACAGTGAAAATATTTTACAAAGAAATTAGTTGGCAAGGGATTAGGATGATAACCCTAAATCAAATGAGGAATCAACAATTTTGAGTGCCTAGAAAATGTCAGCAGAATCACACGTGGCTCAATAGTAGAATTCTTAGCCTCTAAGAAAGTGACCCAGGTCATTTCCCAATCAATGTATCTCGTACACAACTTCCATCCAACTGTCACTGGTGGCTTGTGAATTGCTACAATGTTAGACAGGTTTCAGGAACATTTAGAGTCGAGGAAAGACTAGGAAGAAAGGTCTGGTGAACTACTTTAAGAAATTAGCCAATGTAAACCTGATGGATCACACTGTTCTGATATTCAAACCATCCTGGGGATAGTGCAGGATCAGAATAGTGTTCTCCAGTGCTTCAGGCTACCAAGGGTTGAAGATGGACTTGACAGTAGTCAACAAAAGCAACAATAATACTGTGTCAAGGTCACTCAGTTCTAGGCAGATCGCTGGGCAGAAAGAAACAACTCTGCCTGTGTTAGTCAATGCAGGGTAAGTAGTGATTGCTGAGATAAGTCACATCGCTGAAGGGTGGGGAAAGCGTTTGATTAGAAGGTGGCAGGTAGAGGAAGTAGAGCTTTACTAAAAGGCGATTCTCCTTGCTGAAGGTTATCGCTCCGTAGGAATGGTCGAGTTGAACATGACCCATAGCTGACCTACCGTTTAGCACAGGAAAAGACTGCCTATCCTTCTCCCATGGACAGCTGGTGGATTTAAACTATGTACTACTTCAGTGTAGTTTCTTCCCATTAGACCACCAGAACTCTATAGGAATCAGCTTGGGGAGCCAGAGACATAGAGTTTTGTCTGTCATTTTCTCTAATGAGAAAAGCAGATGGTTAACAATTAGCACTGCATGTCAGATGGAAGCAAAACTTCCCAATGAGCCTGGTTAATAAGTACTATATTTTAATAATAAACTATGAACAAGTGCATGAACAAAGATTAAAAATCTTTTCCTGTTGCTGTTTATGGTCAAGTCAGAATGGAGCCATACATACAGCGGGTTTTCAGAGGCAGTGAAGGCCACAGAAGGAAATTGCCTTCCCTTTTCCCAGAGAGCAGCTGGCAGATTTGAACTGCTTGCCTGAGGGGTTGCAATGCAACTTCTTGCCCCTAGGCCACCAGAACTCTCTAAGGATGCTTTAGTGGTTAATAGTAAGTTCTCTGGGGATGGCCTAGTGGCAAGAAGCTGCGCTGCAATTCCAAAAGCACCCAGTTCAAATCCACCAGCCACTTGGCAGGAAAAGGATGAACAATCTCCTCCTGTGCAAATCACTGCCTCTGAAAACCCACCAGAGGATTAGCGAGGGGTCAGTTCTGACTCGGTGGAACACAACAACAGCAACAGTGAAGGATGGTATAGACAGAGGAGCACTGCCGTGATTCCAATGATCTGGAAGGAGCCTGCATCTGTTCACGTAATTATGATATTTAATAATTACCACCAAATTGTTGATGAAGAAGAGCACTATCACAAACAAATTTCAATTTCCAACCCATAGTTTCTAAAGTATAAAGTGAGATACTTAACGACATATAAAATTTGTTGCTGTCAAGTAGATTCCAAGTCATAGTAAGCCTAGAACAGAATGCTTAACTTGGAAAGCTTCCAGGACTGTAAATAGTAATGGAAGGACGTTGCCCCATCATTGGCCCATGGAGTGGTTGGTAGGTTCAAAATTGGTTTAAAATTACAACTTTATGGTTAACAGATACACGTTTAACTGCTGTGTCATGAGGGGTCCATGACACTGTCAGTATTCTCCACCAACACCACGATCAAAAGGCATCAATTATGTTCCAGTCCTCCTTATTCACTGAACAATCTACACACACACACACACACAGAATATTAGGTTATGATGGGTTGGGCCACATGTACCTTCATCCTCTTGTGACAACTTTGTGTGTTATTTAAAAGAAATCTTTTGAAGCAAATTTGTCCAATGTAATGTTTTCATTTCTTGACAGCTGGTTCCATGGGCATTGATTATGAAGATAAAGAAAATGCAATCTTTGGCAACACTAATATCACTCAATGTAATTGTTGATTGATTCAGTTGTGAGGGTTTTTGTTGTGGTTTTCTTTCTGTTGAGGCATACTCGACACTGCAGTCTTTGATTTTCATTAGAAAACACTGTTATTATGAGGATTTATGTATTAAGGCAATATATGCACCAAGAAATGCCTAACACTTATTAATAGTTCATAAACATTAGCTATTTTAGTTATTATTTAGGATCTCTGGTGGCTTAGTGGTAAGGTGTTGCATTACCAACCCAAAGACTGGTGGTTCAAAACTGCTGGCTGTTCCATGGGAGAAAGATAAGTAATCTCCCCCTGTGTGATTTACTGCCTCTGAAAACTGAATGGAGGATCAGCTACGAGTTGGTTATGATTTGATAACACATAACAGCAACACAATATAATATTTTTATTTTTATATAGAGAGAAAGTATCAGGCATTCATAGAAGAAATCCATATAGGACTATATTCATAGCTTCCTCATTTGTGATAAACCGAAACTACAGAGTTATTTACAGAATTTTTTCAAAGGATTCTTGTGGATCCTTCCTCCCAAGCATGTGCCAGACTAGAACCAAATCTTCCATATTGTCCTTCCTTAAAATAAAATTCTTGTTTTAATTAAGGCTTAGTCATGCAACTATTTGTGGTTTCCAAAAAAATAATGTCTCTATATCTTTAATGTCTAATTAAATACAAAAGCAATGCAAGAAGTTCGCCAAGCTTTTGATTGGAGACGTGAAGCACTTCCAGCTCCACTCAGCAGATCGGTATTTCACTCCAGCACATTCATCAACAGGAAAAGGTAGTGTATGTTTTAAAAAGATATTCCTGGAAAGGAATTTGGTAAACTTGGTGAGCTTTCACAGATTGGTATCTCATTTAGGACATTTCTTTTGCAGTGCTCGACCACCTGATTTGTAGTTGAATGTTCTCAGTTTTTTTTTTTAAAGACACTGTTCTGATGCTATTGAAGAGAAAGCAAGACATTGTGGGACACCCTTCTTGCTCCAGCAACACCTACTACCTGACGTGAGGTGGGAACAGTCTGAAGGGAGGGCCAATACAGGCAGGACTGAGAACTTCGTTGGACAACTATGGGTGGGAAGTCAATATTGACAGGACTGAAAACTTGGGAACACCAAGCCATGAGGCTCAAGGCTGAGGTGCCTGCATACACATTTTGGGAGCTGTCTTGACTATATTCTGCTATTAATCTGGATTATAACCTTTTGAGCCCCCCCCCCGAAACAAAATTTAAAAGATGCTGTTGTTGTTAAGTGCTGACAAATCAGCCACAAATCACAGTAATCCTACATGATCAGTGGATTGGAATCATGTCCTATACTGTGCCATATCAAAATCACCAAGTTCAAGTCCATATTGCAATCAGTGTGTCAATCTATCTCCATGAAGATCTTCCTTTCCCAGCATGATGCCTTTTTCTAAACACTAGTCCCTTCTGACAACATATCCAAAGTCTGCGAGATGAAGTTTTGCCATTTTGGCCTCTATGTAGCACCCTGCTAGGACTTCTTCAAGACTGATTACAGATAGGATATTGAGCACACGGATTCCAAAGTGTGCTCATTGTCCAATTCTTTTTTTTTTTTTTAATTTACATGAAAGGACAATATTTATTTAAACAGAGCTCAATGGGGTAACCATGGTATCATCAGATTGCATCCAGAGGAAAAAGGGAGGGGCCAAATGAGAATCAATCAACGGCACTCCCACACCTTTACTGTTTGATCTACACTGCCAGTAACCACATATGGTGCCGTCTTATGGAAATCCAAGGAGGTAACAAAGTGTTCGTGCGCATTGAGGGGCTTCATGCATCGCTTGTTCTTGTAATCCCATACACGTAGGGTCTTGTCATCAGCACAACTCAAAATAAACTTTCCCCCAGAATGGAACAGAACTCCACGTACCCAGTTATCATGACCCACAAGGGTCATAAGGCACATGCCAGTACTGACATCCCACATCTTAATAGTCTTGTCTCTAGATCCAGACAGCAAGAATGGTCCAGGCTTGCCACTTTTCTTAGTCTCAGATCCTGTTGCTTCAGAGATGGAAGAATAGGAGCTTTCTGGAGCCCAGGAGATGCATTCTACCACATGTTCGTGTTCTCGGAGCTCAGCCTTGCATTCCTTTGTTGCTACCACCCATACTCGCACTGTCTGGTCATTGGAACAGCTGGCTATCAGGGTGCCATCCTGGTTTGGTCGCACCATACGTACCCATTCTCTGTGTCCTGTGAATGTCTTCACACAGTAGCCAGTTTGCACTTCCCACATTTTTATAGTTTTATCCCTTGAGGTGGACACTATATGATCTCCATTAGGCATGATGGCTACTGAAGAAACATTGTGGTCATGGCCGTGCATGGTTCTGATGCATTCAAAGCCCTGAAAATCCCATAGTTTAATGGTCATATCTGCAGAACAGGAAGCTAGAAGCTTGCCACTGTGGTCAAATGAAATATCCTGTACAGAGTCTGCATGGCCCTTAAGAGTTCGTTCAAAATCTCCAGTTTCATAATCCCACACCTTAATGGTAGCATCCTCTGAAGCAGAGACCATAACACTGAACACAGGATGGAAAATGACTCGGGTGACTGGACTCCTGTGACCACTCAAAGCATATTTTTCTGGTGGACGGGGAATCCATTCTTTCATTGTCCAATTCTATCTCGCTAATATGATCTTTTTGATAATTTAATGATGATGATTATGATGATGATGGTTATTGTTGTTGTTGTTTTTGCTATGTGCCGTTGAGTCGTTTGCGACTCATAGTGACCCTATGTACAACAGCCCTAAACTCTGTTCTGTCCTGTGCCAATCTCATTGTCTCCAACACACTCATCCCGATTGCCCCAGCCACCGAATCAATCCACCTCCCAGAGGGCCTTCCCTTCCTGCGCCTGCCTTCTACCCTCCCAAGCATGATGTCCTTCTCCAAGGACCAGTCTCTCCTTACAACATGACCAAAGTATGTCAGATGAAGCCTCAGAATCCTTGCCTCCAAGGAGCAGCCCGGTTTAACCCTCTCCAGGATGAATCTGTTTGTTTTTCTAGCAGACCATGGTACCCCCAGTACTCTTCTCCAACACCAAAGCTCAAAAGCATCAATTCTTCTTCTATCCTTCCTGGTCATTGTTCAGTTCTCTGATGCATAACAAGTGATTGCAAAGACCATGGCCTGTGTCAGACACACCTTAGTCTCCAGAGACACACCGTTGCTCTTCAGTACTTTAGAGAGGTCCCTAACAGCAGACTTTCCCATCACAATATATCCTCTAATTTCCTGGCTGCTGGTGCCAAGAGTGTTGATTGTGGAGCCAAGCAAACTAAAGCTGTGAACAATCTCAATCTCTTCACCATCCATCCTGATGCTACCAATTAGCCCAGTGGTGAGAATCTTTGTCTTCTTGACATTGAGCCTCAATCCATATTGGAGGCTGCAGTTCTTGACCCTCAGCAGCAAGCGCTTCAGGTCCTCCTCAGTTTCAGCAAGCGGGGTTGTATCATCTGCATAACGCAGATTGTTGATAAATGGTCCACCAATCTTGACCCCACATTTCTCCTCATAGAGCCCAGCCTCCCGGATGATCTGTTCTGCATAGAGGTTGAAAAGCCATACAGTCCTCATTATTAAAATTATTAGGGGCGCTCTGGTGGCCTAGTGGCAAGGAGCTGCAACTATAATCCCAGAGGCACACGGTTCGAATCCACCAGATGCTCTGCCGGGTAAGGAGGGACAATCTCCTCCTGTACCAGTCAGATCTGATTTGACGGTACACTCACACAAAAATAATAAAATAAAGTAAGAAATTTAAAAAAAAAACTATTATCACTTTAAGTTTCTGCAACAGGTTTATAACCACCCGCTTCATACTAAGATCTCAGAAGATTTACGATCTCGGTATTCATGTTATCAATCATTATACTATATGTTATACTATATGTTCATATTTATTAGTCTCCTTTAACTTTTACCACATTTCTAAGTGTGCAAATATCATGCTCCTCTACCTGCTGAGTCCAGGCTAAGTCACATGATTTGCTTTGGCCAATGGAATGCTACTGAAAGCAGACACACCAGCACAGGGTAAGACTTTAAAGAAATCTTGCTTCTTTTGCTTGATCCTGCCTTGATTGCTTTCGTCCTCCATCATCTGAATATGTGCTGCTTGATCTGCTTGGACATGGAGCCAAGCTTAGGAGTGACCGGTTGCAACCAACCCACATCCTAATATTAGCTGAAGAGGTTTTCCTTTTTAAACTGAGAAAAATGAAGTTGTTTGCTGCCAGAGAACACATTAACTAGTTAGTGCCCCAGTCCGTCAACAGCACTCTATCAGGTGCCTTTGGGTGGACAACACAAGTCCCTGCCACTAAGTTCCCTTCTGCATTTCAGATCATTAATTCTATTCTCTACTATGTGTAATTATGATACCCACCCACATTGCTTTAATACTACATCGTTCCCTGCCATTCTGGCCATCAGTTTTTGGTTCCCCCCCCCTCTTTATATCCTCCAGCTTTTTCAGTCCTTACTTCCACAACACCCAGCCACCAGATTGATCAAGACCAACAGACCTTAACATTTGATGCTTCTTTGAATCCAGGATCCTTTTTTTTTTAGCCCTGGTGATAATAGTGGTTAAAGTACCAGGTTAAAGTGAAAGGTCAGAGGTATAAACCCACCTACTCTGTGGGGAAAAAATGTAGAAGCTTGTTTTTATAAAGAAATGCCTTGGGCATTGTCAGGTAATCCTACTTCATCCGTCAGGGTCACTATGAGTTAGAATCTACTCAATGGCAATGGATTTCTGCTCTCACTTTGACTTGCTATCTTGCTTCCAATGACACTTAGATTTAAACTGACTTTGTCATTTGTCCCTCCTCTATTATCAAGTTCTTTGGAATCTCATTCCATGTGATTAACTGCCTCTGAAAACCCACTGGAGGGTCAGCTATGGGTTGGTTCCGACCCTATGGTTGTTGTTGTTGTTGTTGTTATTAAGTGTCGTCGAGTCACAGGCGACTCATAGCAACCCTTTGAAGGAGAGTCCTTGATGCTTGGGTGCCTTTCATCCTCTCTCCAAGTTCATAGGGTTTCTGGAGGCAAGCTATTATGGAAGTGGATGTCACTCCTCCTTCCATGCTTGTTCGATCGGGGAGCTCCACCCCACTCTCAGTCCACATTGTAGCCAACCATTAACGCATTTGACACATCTGTGTCACAGTGTTCAGCCTCACAGCAACCACAAGTGACCGCGGGACGGCAACTTGTACCCACAGTTATATGACCTAGAGGAATGTCTGAACAAAAACAATGAAAGACTGTCCTGAGGGCCGCGAACTAAAAGTCACCCACCTTTGTCTTGGTCACATGGTTTTCTCTTCGCTGGGCCAGCTGATCTCTCGATCTGTCTTTCTCTCTCTGTTGATGTTATTGTTGTTAAGTGCCGTCGAGTCACAGGCGATTCATAGCGACCCTATGAAGGAGAGTCCTTGGCTTGGGTGCCTTTCATCCTCTCTCCAAGTTCATAGGGTTTCCGGAGGCAAGCTATTATGGTACACAACAAAAATAACACCATATAGGGAGCTCTGGTGCCTTAATGATAAGGAGTTTTGATGCCAACCCAAAGACAGGTGGTTTAAATCCATCAGTTGCTCCATGGGAGAAAGATGGCCGGTCTCTTCCTGTGCAAGTTGCTGTCTGGATGGCACATAACAACTGTCACACCTTTGTCTTTCTATGCTTCCATATCTAAGTTCTTTTTTTTTCTATAATTATATTTTATTAATTTTCATAAACATTTACAGAGATTTTGGGTTTCCATTCATTCATTGTTGCACTATTCTCTCTACCCTCCTCCCAGTTTGTTCTTGTCCAAATGCCACAGTGCTTGTCTAAGTTCTAATTCATTCTGGGAGGGGGGAAAGCTACACACTCATTTTTATCACTGATCTCTATTTCAGTTGCTATGGCTATAAAACAAACTGACTGAAAATTTAATGTTGTTATGTGCCAGTCAAGTCGTTTGTGACTCATAGCGACCCTATGTACAACAGCCCTAAACCCTGCTCTATCCTGCGCCAACCGCACTGCCTCTGACACACCCATCCCGATTACCCCAGTCACCGAATCAATCCACCTCATAGAGGGTCTTCCCCTCCTGTGCCATCCCTCCACCCTCCCAATAGCATAAATAATCTCCATTTTCTTACTAAGTTGAATTCAGTAGCTCGAGAATTCCAGTAGAAGTTAGCTTGGTGATTCTTCTGTTTCCCAGGCCAGCTTTACTCAGTGATAGTTGGTTGAAAGACGGCCTGGAGGGCCCAAGACAGCTTCACTCATATGTTTGGTATCTTGGCAGTAATGGAGTGGAAGATTCAGCACAGCTGTGACTCTGATCAGTGTCTTATATGTGGCCTCTCCTTCAGAATAGTATCAAGATGAACAGATATTCTAGGAGGCAATTGGTTCCCCCGACTTGAATCTCTCCAATGAAATAGGTAGAAGCCATATGGACTTTTCTAGCTTAGCCTCAGACGTCATACAGGGTTCTATCTGCCGCCTTCTACTGGTTACAAGTGACACATAAAGCAATCCAAGAGTCAAAGGAAATGCAATCAGACTCGCTATACCTCTTCATGGGGGGTATGGCGAAGTTAATCTAAGAGTAGTTAGGATGGAAGAAGTTATTGTGGCTATCGGCTGTCAGTGGAAACAAAAACTCCATTGTCTCCAATTGGATGCTCAGCATTTCTCCAGGTCATCTTTTATGTGTCCACAGAAAGCTTTCTCTCCTTTACCCCTCAAGTTTTATGGAAATCTCACTATTCCTCTCAAAATCATACCTTTCCTCCTTGTTCCTTTGGCAGGCTGTCTGCTTCCTACCTCAGGGTGTGAAATGCATGGCAACTAACACCGAATCACTAAAATAATACACTAGAAATCTTTCCAGCTTTTCCCCTGTCACCGCTGAGTTGTGCGGAGGCGGAAGCCCGGGTGCGTTCAAGATTCCGCTCCACCCGTAACCCACCGCCATGGCCGAGGAAGGCATTGCTGCTGGAGGTGTAATGGACGTTAATACCGCTTTACATGAGGTGCTAAAGACTGCCCTCATCCACAATGGCCTAGCACGTGGAATCCACGAAACTGCCAAAACCTTAAACAAGCGCCAAGCCCATCTATGTGTGCTTGCATCCAATTGTAATGAGCCCATGTATGTCAAGTTAGTAGAGGCCCTTCGTGCTGAACACCAAATCAACCTGATAAAGGTTGATGATATTAAGAAACTGGGGGAGTGGGGAGGCCTCTGCAAAATTGACCGAGAAGGAAAGCCCCCAAAGTAGTCGGCTTCAGTTGTGTAGTTGTTCAGGACTATGGCAAAGAATCACAGGCCAAGGATGTCATTGAAGAGCATTTCAAATGCAAGAAATGAAACCAATAAAGAACTTGGCATATTGAAAAAAAAAGAAAAGAAATATTTTCAGTTCTTGCTTCCTTTTTTTCATTTTTGGTTAGTGTTTTTGCTTTAAAATGAAAGTTATAAAATACATGGGTTTGTTTGGTTTTTTTTCCCTGAAAAGACATCCACTTGGAAATTTGGGAAACCAAAATTGGAGGCAAAGTTCAATTAATTCTATCT